TGCTTCTGCCACAGATTCCCCCAGCTGTGAGCCTTCCAATCTTCTAAGTATTCCTTTATATGTGGTTCAGAGTTCTGGGACCAGCCCGTGAGCCTGCTTGGTCGGGAATTCTGTGTTGTTGTTGGTGGAGCTCTCTGCTATACGTCCACCCGATCCGCCATCTTGTTTGTTCTGTCAGAATATTGCCTCTTTATTTCACTTTTTGATACTTACAAACCAAAAACCCATTGCTACTGAGTCAAAAACCCATTGTTACTGAGTCTATTCTGACCCATAGTGACCTTATAGGACAAAATACAAAGAACTGTCTTCCATAAGGATTTCCAAGTAATCTTAATGGAAGCAGGCAGCCACATCTTTTTCCCATGGAGTGGCAGTGGGATAGCAACCAAGTGCTTACCCACTGCAACAGCAGAACTTCTTTTTTTTATTTTTAATTTATGTCTTCTCAGACTATCCTAAAGATAAAAATAATGTAACGATAATCTCATAATTAGTATGTTAGAAGTCATGAGATATAGTAGAATAAACCGTTTCCAGCATAATGATAATTGGCAATTCTTTTTTTATGTTCCACTCAGTAACACAAGAAAGCAGATTGTGTGATTTGTAGCTCTTGCAGTGGTAGCTTAGGATGGCACAGGAGTAAATGAAGGCACTTCATCACTTGTTTACTTTCATTAATGGTAGTATCTGATAAAAATAATGCATGCCATGAGGTTGAATTATATCTCTATATTACGTTAGTTAAAGATATACTCTGTATTTATTTGGTAAAAGAGAATCTGTTTTCTGTCATCCATGCTATTTTCATAATGAATTAAAAACCAAACCAAACCCACTGCCATTGAGTCAATTCTGTTTTATAATGACCCTACTGGACTGAGTCGAACTGCCCCATAGAGTTTCCAAGGCTGTCATCTTTATGGAAGCAGACTGCCTCATCTTTTTCCCTGTGAAGCCACTGATGGATTCAAACTGCCAGCCTTTTGGTTAGCAGCCAAGTGCTTATCCATAGTGCCACTAGGGCTCCTTCTCAAAGTGCATTGAAGACACACACACACAAACCCATAAATGGGACATTAGGGAAAATGCCCTTTCTATCACTTTGCCCTGATGAAGCATTTAATAACAATGCCTAGTTTTCACCAGAATCTCTAGAAGTTCTATTTTATTCTCCCTATGTAGTTAGTCCTGTTTCTTTCAAGTAAGTTTATGGAAACTAATTTGCCAAGAATATTTGTAGCTGAGCTTATGTTTTTCTGGGGAATTACTTGATTTCAGTGATAGCTCCAGCACCATCTTTCTGAAATAAAATCTGCTTAATTTTGACATTCCATTTTATATCCTACAACGATTATACCCTAAACATATGAATATAGATATGCTGCCTGAAAAATAGTAAGTTGCATACTTGCTTAGGCATCAGGAGACAAGCAGTGTCTACTGAGTACCTGCTGTATACTTAACTAGGACTGAGATAGCCCCTTGCAACTTAGCGTGTGGTCCATGGAGCAGCAACAGCAGCACTGGAAAGCTTATTAGAGATACAGACACTTGGTTCATTCTAGTTTGACCCCTTGCTGAAAATCTGCATTTTCACCCCTGATAGACTAAATCAGAAGAAACAGTTCAAAGCCCTGTTCTTAAATCTGGGTGCATATTAAAATCACATGGGTGCACTTTTACAAAAAGTTAGTAATCCTATGATCTGAGATTCTGATTGAATTTGCCACGGATGGGATCCAGCATGACTATTTAAAAAAAAGATTCATAGGATAATTTAAAAAAGAAAACAGTTACCTGCAGCTCCACTCCGACTCATGGTGCATGTGTACAACTGTGCTCCATAGGATTTTCACTGGCTAATTTTTTAAAAGTAGATTGCCAGACCTTTCTTCTGAGATGCTTCTGGGTAGATTGGCACTTCCAACCTTTCTGTTAGCAGTTGAGTGCGTTAATTATTTGCACCACCAGTGTTTCCTCCAAGAGAACATAAGAATTCCAAGATTCATCCGTTGGCTTTGATTGGCATCAAAGTTGAAGTTCATACCGGCTTGAAGTACTTGATTTTGAAGTAGATGAAATTAATCTAGCACTTCAAAGGCATGCCAAACACCAAATATTTCTATTTCTAACCCCAAAGATATAACTCTTAAAAACAAATGCTAATGGCAAAGAGAAAGGTGAAAGGTAAAATCTTGACAGCGTGGAGTGGGTGGAGCACCATAATGAATTGGGAAGGAAATGTCTATCTCTTCATGTGCCAGTAACCAAAATAAGGAACTCCAAACAGTGTTTTCTGTTCTCCAAGATTCATATTAATGACCAAACTTGTTATAATAGAATTATAGATATTACATATCTTATATATATTTTGTTATTGTTGTTAAGTGCCATCGAGTCAGTTCCAACCCATAGTGATCCTATACAGGGTTTCTGAGGCTCGTAAATCTTTGCGGGAGCAGAAAGCCTCATCGTTCTCCCACAGAGCAGCTGGTAGTTTCGAACTGTTGACCTTAAGGTTCACAGCCCAATTCGTAGCCACTACGCTACTAGAGCTCCTTTTAAGTGCTGTCAAATCAGTTCCAAATCGTAGCCACCCTGAAGAGGGTTTCTGAGGAGCGGCTCGTGAATTTAAACTGCCAACCTTGTGGTCCAGTGCATTATCCCACAGTGCCGTACCAGGATCACTATTAAATTATGTATTATTTGGTGGTAATAAAAGATTATAAGGCTTATACTAACCCAAAGCCACTTGTTGTCAATTCAGTTCCAACTCATGGGAACCCCATATGTGTAAGAGTAGAACTGTACTTCATAAGGGTTTTTAGAAGTAGATTGCCAGGACTTTCTTTTCTTCTGAAATGCCTCTGTGTGGACTTGAACCGCCAGCCTTTGGTTAGCAGTCAAGCCACATTAATCAATGATACCACCCAGGGAAGACTTCGTGGTAACTGTGTGGGGTTTTGTTTTTTGTTTTTCTAATTCTAATGTGCAATGAGATTTGAAAACCACTGGGAATATGGTAAATAGTAAATAAACAGAAAACTGTTATCCTTTAAATAAATGAATTTATTTATTTACTAAGTACTTATTTTCTGTTAGTTTTATTTATTCATTAAATAGAGCTACCAAGTCCCCAAGAAGCAGAGGGAGTCCAGGCAGATTACGGCAAAATCCAGACTCAGTGCCATGGGGCACTGTTGGAATTATCCATGTGACTTTGGCCTGGCCCACCTTTTAGATTGTTTCTTTCCTACCAGCCCAGGGGGTCATGGTGACAATGAAGTATGTATACTTTGCTCAGTGTGGGACTCTTTCATAGAGAGAATTTTGTGTTTCAGGAGAAATGTGCTGACAAAAATGAAGGTTCTATCAACACTGATACACCAGTGTTTGTAGATCCCAGTGGTAAGAAAGATGGCATTGAGAGCAGTTCTAAGGCATCTCAGCCAACAACTTCCTGGGAAAACAGAGAAAATGAGGATTCTCAGGAGAACATTGACGCCATCCATGAAGAAGTTAGAGAACCTTCCGCTGATAATACAGTGAAAGCTTCTGAAGCCCTGGGTGAGCTTTTAAAAAAATTATTTTGTTGTGGCTTTGTGTTGTGGTTGTTGTTATGGGGTGTGGAGTCAGTTATGACTCATAGTGACCCTGTACAGGGTTTCTGAGGTTGTAAATCTTTATGGGAGCAGAAAGCCTCATCTTTCTCCTGCATAACAGCTGGTAGTTTCGAACTGCTGACCCTGAGGTTCGCAGCCTGATTCGTAACCACTACGCTACAGTGAAAGTTTACAGAACAAATTTGTTTTCCATTCAGCAATTTATATACACAGAATTTTCCTCACATTGGTTATCATTCCCAGACTCTGTCAGTGCCATCCCAATTTCCATCTTGGGCTCCCCATTTTCATTTGCCCAGTTTTCTTGCCTCTTCCTGCCTTCTTCTATTTGCTTTTGGAAAATGCTGCTGCCCTTTTGGGCTCATGTAGCTGATGATTCTAAAGAGCTTGTTCTCCTATGTTGTTATTGTTCACTTTATTGGCCTGCCTTTTCTGTGGCTGAAACTTAATCTCTTGGAGTAGCTTCAACTCTAAGAAAGAAGAGTATCTAAGAGCCATAGTCTCAGGGTTTCCTGCTATGGGTGATCTGTAAAATAAATCTCTCTTGATGACAAATGTTGCCATGTAGGTGACACATTCCAAGTGAGGGGTGTCATTGTACTGTTCTTTCTCCTTTTATATGTTTGAAATTTTACAATGCAAAACTTGAAATCATTTAATCTCTGGTATTAACCCTTTTGTGATCTGTGGGACAGATATCACCCGCCAATATGTTAGTCCCTCAGGTTTCTTGGGGTGCTCCTTTCCCAGTTATAGTATGTGCTAGCTCCTGATGGGGACTTGCATAATTGTGTGAATCTGATTGTGTGAATCTGAAGAAATGGGGCTTACTCCTACCACCAGAGTCCACTTGGGACATACATTTCATACATGTTATTCATAGCTATTGAGTCGGTTCCAACTCATAGTGACCCTGTATGGGGTTTCCAAGGAGCTACTGGTGAGCTTGAACCACCAACCTTGTGTTTCACATCAACCTTGCAGTCTAGCAAATTAACCCACAGCGCCACATCAGGATTCCATGTCATACATAGTTGTATCTAAGTCCATATTACCTAAAAAAAAATTCCCTTTGATTTCAGCATGCCTTTCATTACTGAAAATACATGGTATCAACAACAACAACAAAAAAATCAAAGCAGAAAATAATTTGGTCATGAAAGGATTAATGAGTTACTGAAATAGAAATGCCTGTTTCTGAAATTGGCAGTTGTCAATGTTGAGCTAAATCTGCTAGTTTGACGTCTAGAGGCAGTGCATGGTTGGCTCATTTGATCAATGTGAGTGCCATGATAAGACACCTTCCTCAGCAGGGAAAGGAGGAGGTACTATAGCTAGGAAGAGGCAGAAACAGTTCAGGGGACTTGTTCTTAGTGTACACGGCACAGTTTACATGCTCAGGAAGTATCTTTTGCATGAATTATTGGATACTGTTCCTTGTGTTCCTACTGCTAGTGCATCTGGCTTTCCTCTGTGTCAAGTGGCAGTAGTTCAGTAGGTGACATACCACCTGCCACTCATGCTTCTCAATATAGGCTCCTCCTCAGGATACTGGGAATTACCTATCGGTCACTAGTTAGTGGCACCTGAGATAGCAAAACTTTTTCCTCTGCCTCTACATGAGCCCAGCCCATATCAGCCCTCAAAATACTGCCTGTCATTCGGTTCAAACTAAGTTATTTCAATGAAATATCCTTTATATATGTTTCCATTATAAAAGTAATAGAACTATTTGTTAAGATTGCATGACATAGAAACAGACTCTAGGTAGATTAAATAGCATTGTATCCTGATGTGATGCTGTAGGATAGGCACTGGACTGCTAACTGCAAGGTTAGCAGTTCAAACCCACCATCCATATCTTGGAAACCCTATACAGGGTCTCTGAGTTGAAACTGACTCAATGACACTTAACAACAACAAAACAAACCACTGGATGAATAACTCCTATATTTCAAAAGCAAAGAACAATTGAGCCTCTGGCAACCCCAAGACTGGGGCACATCAGTGGCTTGGGAGATCTGCAGCAGTACCTTCTAAAACAGATTTGTTTCTCCATTCAAATTCCCTAGAGAAAGAATCTTACTGGGGTAACAGAGGTCTCAGATTTCTAACTGGGACTCAGTTATTAAAAGGGGACAGGGCAGCTAAGGCAATGAAGTCAGGTGTTTACCAGTTTGCGTATAGCCTATTTGAAGATTCTATTTTTAAAATTTGGGAAATCCTTAAAATAGGAGAAGTTACATTAGAAATTTCTTTTAAAAAACTGTGGATACTTTCCTTTTCTTCCAGATATTTTTCTTAGGAACATTTAAAAATATTATGATCTCTGTATAATTACTCTTCTTTCCCATTATAATATGCATGTATTTTCCCCCAAGAATTTATAATCATAACCATTGCTTTTAACAGGTAGAGAGTAGAGAACATTCCATTGAGTAAGAGTACCATAATTTATTTAATTGCCCCCTCTTCCTTTTTGCTGTTTCTGCTTTTGGTTTGAGGGTTGGAGTCATGCTGTGGCTCTGTAGAATAAAGCACTGAACCATAAGGTCAGCTTGAACCACATGTCAGTGGTTCAAACCCACCAGCCGCTACTTGGAAACCCTACACAGGGTTGCTATGAGTCAGAACGGACTTGATAGCACTTAATAACAACAACATAAATCATGTCTACTACCTTACCTGTAAAAAAAAAAACTAAAACTTTATTTGGATAGCTATTTCCATTTGTTGTTGTTGTTATTAGGTGCCGTCAAGTTGGTTCCAACACATAGCAACCTTGTGCACAATAGGCAAAACACTGCCCAGTCCCGTGCCAATCTCACAGTCGTTACGCTTGAGTCCATTGCTGCTGCCACTATGCCAATCCATCTTATTGGGAGTCTCCTTCCTTTTTTTAAAAGTTTTTATTGTGAATTATGTGGGTTTACATGGGAGAATATCAGTTTTACATTCATCCTATCATATTTCATTTCATTGCAATGATTACAATCCCCTCCATGCATCATCAAATAACCAAAGGATACACCCCACAGGCCCGCCCCCCGCCCCCCCTGGCCATCAGCATACAGCCCCTCTCTCTCCCTGAGTCCAGTGTCCGCAGCTGCTCCATCTGTCCACCGCATCGTCTCTTTCTCCATCCCTGGCATCACTGCCTCTCTGGGTAGGGTCACGCTCTCTGCTCTTCTCACTTGATGGTCCCAGGGACCTCTGCTCCTAGGCTGCAAAATCAGTCACTCCCCTCCTTTTGTCAAAAAACATCTACCTCTACATTTCCGACCCTCATAGTCAGTCCTGATGGCAATTATTCACTATTGTACCACAAGAGTCTTATCCCCGTTTCCTTTCGCCAGCCTGGTCCCAACAGATTGGAAATCTACCAACCCCTGCCCCATCTGGAACTAGGCTCCCTCTTGAAAGCTTATAAGCCAGTCACTTCTTGCCTTTATCGCACCCGCCCCGCCGCCATTTTGTGTAAGGAACTCTGGTAGCATAGTTGTTACAAATCGGGCTGCAAACCTTAAGGTCAGCAGTTTGAACCTACCAGCTGTTCCACAGAAGAAAGTTGAGGCTTTCTGCTCCCGTACAGATTTACAGCCTCAGAAACCCTGTACTGGGTCACTATGAGTCAGAACCAACTCCACAGCACAACCACCACCACTGTCATTTTGGGTAGCCAATATCCAAGTTGCCATCCCTGTCAACTGAGGGGGTGGGAGTGATCCTTGCTGTAAAGATTTGTTCCCTTTTTTGAGCTACTACATCCGTATGTGTAGGTAAAGTTTATCAAATTGTAGTGGGTTACTCTTTTTTTTTTTCCTTCCTCTTTCTTCTTTTAGTTGAGTTCTGAACATCTAGCCATTGAAGCCAGGTCAAGTGGGTACTGTCTGCAAGTATGGGTATTCTTGTGCATCTCCCCTCATTTCATATCAGCTGGGTACTTCACTCTCTGCTCTAGTCCTCTGTGGCCATGTCACTGCCTCTAGGCCCAGGAGTTCTTGGGTCTTGACGTAACTGCTGGCCATCCAGGTCTCCACCTGGGTTCACAGGAGTCTGTTGAATATGGTCGGACTTAGATCCCAACTTCATTGTTGTTTTTTCCCCCTCTTCCCCTTATCGGTGACCAGCGTGGTCACCAGCCAGACCCTTTGATCATGAGATAGTGTCCTTTATCTCTTATGCTGGTTTTTGTCTTAAAGTTTACTGTATCAGAGATTAGTATTACCACTCATGCTTGCTTATTGTTGCAATTAGCTTGGTATATTTTTTCCCATCCTTTAACTTTTAGTCCATTTTTGTCTTTTTGTGTAAGGTGTGTCTCTTGCCGGCAGCATATTGAAGGGTCTTGTTTTCTTATCCATTCTGCCACTCTCTGTCTCTTCACTGGTGCGTTCAATCTATTGACATTGAATGTAATTATCAATAGGTATGAATTAATTGCTACCGTTATGTTAATTTTTGGTAGTGCTGTTCGTTTGTTTGTTCTGCATGCCTTCTTGTGCAGCTTGTGGGTTTTGTTTTTTTTTTGTGCTATTTCTTGTCGGTTTCTTCTTAGTTTATATGTTTGCTTGTTTTGCTTGGAAGTTCATTTTCATTGTAAGTTGTGATGTGTTAACTTTCTTTGGGGTTACCTTATAGTCTATGAACTTTTCCCTCCATTTAAGACAATCTTTTGTTTCCTGTAATCTCCCTGACCTCCTGCCCACCTGGATCTCTGTTCCTACATTTTTCCCTTCTTTGACGTTGTTATTATTTTGATCTTCAGTTGACCTCCCAGCTCCTTTGAGTTCATTGTTATAATTTTGTTCTGTTCTGGACTCTGCTATCTGCCATCTGAGTTTCAGATGGTACCGCCCTGCCTGTCAATCTCTGGTTGTTGTCTGTTCTTGTTGGTTTTAGTCCAAAGCACTCCCTTTAAGATGTTATGAAGTGCTGAATTGGCTTTGACAAAATCTCTTAGCTTCCTTTTATCCTGGAATGTTTTGATTGCACCATCATATTTGATTAACAGTTTTGCTGGATAGATAATTCTTGGTTGGCAGTTTTTTTCTTTTAGGATTTTGTATGTGTCTCCCCCATTGCCTTCTTTCTTGCATGGTTTCTCCTGAATAGTCAGAGCTTAATCGGATTTGCATGCCTTTGCAAGTAACAGTTCTCTTTTCACTGGCTGCTTTTAGGATTCTCTCCTTGTCTTTGATTTTGGAGAGCTCGATTATTATATGCCATGGTAATTTTCTTTTGGGGTCTATCCTTTCTGGGGTACGTTTACCTTCTCATCTTTCAAGATGTTAGGGAAATTTTCTTCCAGAAGCTCTTCCACTGTCTCCTCTGTAGACTTCTCTGATTCTTCCTGTTTCAGAATGCCAATAATTCTTAAGTTGTTCCTCTTCATGTTATCCAGCATGAATCTTAGACTCTCTTCTGAATTTTTTACCCTTCTTTCTTCTGCTTGCTCTTCTATTTTAGCAGTATTGAGAGGTTTGTTTTCCAGCTCGCTGGTTCTGGCTTCCAGCTCTTCAATTCTGCTCCTTTCCCCTTTCAGTGTATTGTCCATTTCTCATATTTTATTATTAATCATCTGGACCTCTTTTTCACAGGTTTTGAATTGTTTCCAATGCTGTTTTGGTCTTGTTTGATTGCTTGTGCAGTACTTTCTTGACTTCTTCCTTGTTTTCCTCCACCCCTTTTCAGAGCATTTGAATTTGTTTCCATATCATTCTTCTGAATTCCTTCTCAAGCAAATCCAAAACCTGCTCTTCCTCTTCTTGGGAGACTTTGTCTGTCTCCAGTTCATTTATCTCAGCTACTTTCTTCTGTTTTTGGACATGTTTTGATATCTTTTGTTATTTTTTGTTCATCATTTCCAGTAGTTATGTGGAATTTTCATGTTTGAATGGATGTTTGTTGCTATGTTATTAAGCTTACTGGGTGTCTCCTGGTAGATATGATCAGGAGATAGGCTTTCCTTTTCGCATGTAATGCTTAGCAGGTGTTATGGGCTCTTGTCTCAATGGTTAAATATTATGGGGTGCGCTTGTAGCTTGGCTATATGGCCACGACTGCTGACTCTTCTTGGATAACATAGGGAAAAAATGTTCCCACCTTCAGGAAAAAATGTGTGATCAAAAGGCCCAAAAGCAGAAGCAATATAAAAGCAGAGACAAGAACCACCACTTTGAAACAAAAATAAAACTGTGGCTGACTGTTCATTCACCCTGCTAAATAGGCCATGTATGTGTACCGTAGTTGCCACCAGTAATGGGTGGGGGTGTCCACTTGGTCAGGCCCCTCCTCTAGTCACCACCATAGAAGTGTGCAGATAGATATTGAGAAATTAATGGGAGAAAGATTGTTTACTATTTTTGTCTCTGAAGGTCAGTTAGGTATCTGCGTGTGCACAGCATAATTCTTGAAATAGTTGTGTCTTTTTATGTTGGGGTTTTACAGATTGTTCATATGGTTTGTTTATCTGGCCAAATCTGCTTTTTTTTCTTGCTGGATAGGCTGGAGTAAAGGGTCCTGCACAAATTAACTTTAGGGCTGGGACCCACAGGCAGAAGTCAAAAGCAGCAGCCAAAGAATTTGCCCTTGGACCGATGGGGCTTTTTCTCTCTGTGCCGTGGGACAGCTGTGGTCTCAACGCTGGACTTTTTGGGGAGTATGTTCTCCTTCCTTTTTGTTGGCCCTCTTCTTTACCATGCATGATATCCTTTTCCAGAGAAAGGTCCCTTCTGATGATATGTCCAAAGTATGTATGAGAGATGAAGTCTGGTCATCTTGGTTTCTAAGGAACATTCTGGTTATACTTCTTCCAACACAAATTTGTTTGTTCTTCTGACAGTCTATGATACTTTCAATATTCTTCTCTAACATCATAACTAAAATACATCAATTCTTCTGTGGTCTTCCTTTTTCATTGTCCAGACTCCAAACTGACATCTTTGCTCTTAAACACTTGAAAAAGGTCTTGTGCAGCACATATGAATAATGTATTACATTGTTTTATTTCTTGAATTCTGCCTCCTTGAGTGTTGATGATAGATCCAAGCAAAATGAAGTCTTTGACAAGTTCAATATTTTCTCCATTAATCATGATGGATTTTTTGTAAAGTTAAAACTCTCTGAAATTGAATTACCAGATTGAAACTATTAACCTTGCTTTCTGACACTTGATAATTATTGATAGATTAATTTTCCAGTTAATTATTTAACCCATTGAGTGAATTTTTAAACAATTTAATTATTCTTGTTCAATCTCAAATCTGAGTGATCCAACAATAATGGGTGTTCAAAGGTGAAAAATATGCTTATTACCTGGTAAGTATCACACTGTATTTCTCTTATGTTTTCTTCTTAACTCTGTTAAATGTAAAATAGAAAAATTTCAACTGTGGTTAACTTGAGTTGCTATGGACTGAAGAGATGATAATAAAGACTATAAAGTTAAAAAATGAAGATGAGCCTAAAATCTATTTTTCATTCCAAATCCAGTATCAGTAATGAGTCAGCAATTTATTGATTTTTTAAAAATGAGTCTAATAACAAAAAGAAAATCTACATTTTAAAATTGCAAATATTTCAGTAAGAATCATGGTGTTTATTTTTTGAAAATAAAGAAACACTTATAAGTAGGAAAAGAGTGCATTTAAAATTATTTACAATTTGTTACTAAATGTAATTTTAAAAATTAATACAGTATAAAAGATAGAATAGTAAATCTTCCTTTGACCAATTAAAGTCTGTATAATCATGTTAGCAATAATTCTTGTACTATTTTGCATGCTGTCTCAATAGACTTAAAACTGGAGGCTCTAATTATTTTACCTTTCAAATTCCTGAGCCTAAAAATTGAAAAAAATTAACCTTTCTTTCATATCCTTTAAAAAAAAGTGGAAATAATGTCAATTTAACACTGCCACAAAGATGATCTTTCCTTTTTGTTTCTAGAAAATTTTGGAAATCCATACAGAAATGTACAGATGCCAAATTCAGTGCTTACTATAGCAAGAAAAATGTGTCTGCCAGAGCTTGCAGCTAGATACCTCATTCGCATCCTGTTCACAGAAGATGTCCTGATAAACAGTAAATTCTACAGTCATACTGGGCATGGCATGTATACCTTCAACTCCAACAAGACTAGTGCTCTCCGAGGTTTGTTATATGCAGAGTGTATGAGAAGAAATAATAGCAAATTATGGTACAGAAGAAAGGCAAGTGGAAAAATACAGTTGGTATATGAGGCAAGATGGAGCTCTTACTAAGTTTCTCATCAGGGTTTATAACAAGGAACAAGTTCGTGAATTACATTTGAGTCCTTGGGGTAATTTGTCTGCCTTGAATGGCATTAGTAGACCTGGCAAAACAGTACTGATTGGCTCCCTGCTAGGCATTGCCAGGGTTTGGGAATGAAAATGCCTTCATTTACTGAGGATCAGTGTCAAAACTCTGAAGGGCTTTGTCAATTTGCAGAAATGTCAACAGTAGCATTGTTGTTGTTAGTTGCCGTGGAGTCGGTTCCAACTCATAGCGACCCTGTACAGGGTTTCCGAGGTTGTAAATCTTTACAGGAGCAGAAAGCCTCATCTTTCGCCCGTGGAATAGCTGGTAGTTTCAAACTGTTGACCTTAAGGTTCGCAGCCTGATTCATAACCACTGCACTACCAGAGCTCCTTAACAGTAGCATAGCGTGCAAAGTTTCCTTGTGCATCTTAACACAAGGAGAAGATGTAATCTTTACACCTGTTGTATACTATTCCAAGAGTGGTGCGTTTGAACTGCCAACCTTGAAGATATTAGTCCAGTGCTTATTTTACAGCGTCAAACCAGGACTTGTCTGTATGCCTAGGACATATATAAGTCAGGTAATAGAGCTTTCAAAACCAATTCTGTGAAATCTTAAATTTGGACAAAGTAAGATATAACTGGTGTGGCACTGTAGAATAAGCACTGGATGATTAACCACAGGGTTGGTGGCTCAAACCTACCAGCCACTCCTCGGAACATATATAGGGTCACGATGAGTTGGAACTGACCTTGGTATCACTTAAGAGCAACAACAGGACACCAACTGTTTTGTATTTGTGTACATGTGGTACCCAACAGAGAAATTGTTCTGAATCCCAGCGTGATCTTAGTTGGTTCCTTCTTCATAGCACGCATTTTCATATCCAACACATTTGAGCAACACTTCTGTTTCAGACCAAACTAAAGAAACCTGCCTTACAGTGTTGTTGTTGTTGTTGTTAAGTGCCGTCGAGTCGGTTCCGACCCATAGCGACCCTGTACAGGGTTTCCGAGGGTGTAAATCTTTACGGGAGTAGAA